GGGTGTGGTGGCACACACTTGTCACCCCTGCAACTCAGGAGGCTGAGGCAGGAGGAGCACACGTTCAAGGCCAGTCTCTGCAACTTAAACCCTAAGCAATTTAGCGAGACACTATCTCAAGATAAAAATAAAAAGGGCTAGGGGTATAGCTCACTGATAAAGCATCCCTGGGCTCAATCACCAATACCAAAAAATAAAAACTTATTCTCACCTGGGAGCTGAACCGAGGCACCCTGTCCTCTAGAACCTCGCCCTGCAGCTCCTCCCAGAACCTTGAGCACATCATCTGCAAGGCACTGTCCTTCTTGCTGCTCTCAGCCACCCAGCCCTCCTCCTGTCCCTGCCCTCACACCCAGTGTGGCTCCTCTTAGTCTGGGACTGAGTTGGGAAGTACTCTTCATTCAGCCGTGCCTGGAAAACACCTCCAGGGGTGTGAACACCAGAGATGTGCTCCAAGAAAAGATACTGGATGGAAAGCCACCAAGGACATGCACCCATAGCCTGCTGGGGTGGACCAGTGGGTGCGGCCCCAGGATGCTTGTCCCTTCCTCACCTGCGATGATGAACCAGTTCATGTAGTTCAGGAGGTTGATGTAGCAGAGAACTGCAGCAGCCACGTATGCTCTCCAGCGAGGCAGGCTCCATGGGGCAGGCGTGCTGGGAGGGGGACACWGACCTGAGACCAACGTCCCATAATGACCACCTGGTCTCAGGGCCTGGCTCTGTGGCTCTCCTGGCCCAGGATCAGGGCACTCAGCAGACATCACCCACTCGTTGCCAACCTGCAGCTCCTGTCCCAGGATGGGTGCTGGGTTAAATGTATCAGCTCAGCACCAAGTCACTTCCTGTGGGCCCCCAGCCTCCCGACCTCAAAGCAGCTGCCCTAACTGTTAGACATCTGATCACAAGTTCCTGCTGAGCCCACCACAACCTCACTGATAAAATTTCACCATCCTCAGCCTCCAAAGCCTGCTGGCAGGGTGAGGAGRGCTCCTGGCACCCCCACCCATGTGCCTGGATAACTCTGTGGTCCCCTGAATCTACCCTGTGGCTTCAATGAGGAAGGGAAACTCCTGGGACAGGAAATGTCTCCCCCGGACCCTGCTGATGCAAGCCACCCAGCACCCAGTGAGCCAGATCAGGGAGGCTGGGTGTTGGCCAGAGGAGCAGCATTGGACTAGACAGTGAGGAGAGGTTGGTGCCTATTCAGTGTCCAATGTGACAAAAAAAAAAAAAAAGATCTGGGGGTGGGGGGGAAGCCTATAGGAAGTCACCTGTGGGCAACACACACCAATAGAGCTTAGTCTAGGGGTCATTTTTGGAGAGGGACAGGATAATGGCATGGGCTTAAAGGTGTCTCTGTAGATTGCTCGCTAATAGCAAGTGGGACAAAGAGCAACTACACAGGGCTGGGGACATAGCTCAGTTGGTAGAGTGCTTGCCTCACATGCACAAGGCCCTGGGTTCAATCCCCAGCACCCCCCCCCAAAAAAAAAAAGAGAGAGAGAGAGAGAGTAACTACACAATAGAGGGGGCAGACATCTTGACCAGGGATTAAAAAGCATCACAAATGGGGGCAGATGGCAGTGGGTCTAAAGCCCTGCACCCATCACTGTGCAGTGTTATAGCCAGAAATGCATAATCTGAATTTAATTACAAGGAGACATCAGATAAACCCAAATTGAGGAATGTTCTTTTTTTTTAAGGGACTAGCACTATGATTCAAAAATGTCAAAGTGGCTCAGTGGTAGAGTGTGTGATTGGCATGCATGAGGCCCTGGGTTCAATTCCCAGAACTAAAAAGAAAAACAATCAAAGTCATAAAAGACTACAGATTAAAGAGATAAAACAGATATGACAAGTGTAACACAGAATTCTAGGCTGCATCCTGTACCGAGGAGAAATACACATTACTTGATCAATTGATCAAATTGGAATGTAGGGCTGGGGTTGTGGCTCAGTGGTAGAGTGCTCGCCTAGGATGCATGAGGCACTGGGTTCGATCCTCAGCACCACATAAAAAGTAAATAAAGATATTGTGTCCACCTAAAACGAAAAACTAAATATTTTTTTAAAAATTGGAATGTAGCCAGGTGCAGAACACTCAGGACACTGAGGCAGAAGGATCACAAGTTTGAGGTCAACCTATAGTGGCCCTAAGCAACTTGGAGAGACCTGTCTCAAAATAAAAAATAAAATAAAATAAACAGGGCTGAGGATGTGGCTCAGTGGTAAAGCACTGAACACCCTGGGTTCAATCCCTGGTACCAAAAAATAAAGGATGTGAAAGGATGTAGTCACAGAAGAAGATAGCATGGTAGTCCTTGAAAGTTCAAAAAATAAGTAAAATAAAATAGGAATGTAGACAGTAGATTAGGAAGAAATTTTATATCAGTGTCAAATTTACTAAAGGTGATCGCTGTGCAGTTATGTACGTAAATATACTTAGAATGAAGCATCTAGAGATAAAGGGCTATAATATATGCAACTTACTCTCTCATGTAGTTCTAAAAAAAATTGATATTTACATATGGTAAGAAAGCAAATGGCCAGGCACAGTGGTGCACACCTGTAATCCCAGTGTCTCAGGAGGCTGAGGCAGGAAGATCACAAGTTCAAAGCCAACCTCTGCAATTCAGTGAAGCCCTAAGCAACTCAGTGAGATCCTGTCTCAAAATAAAATATAAGGGCTGGAGATGTGGCTCAAGCGGTAGCGCGCTCGCCTGGCATGCGTGCGGCCCGGGTTCGATCCTCAGCACCACATACAAACAAAGATGTTGTGTCCGCCGAG